ATAGAAATTATATAGCAGGAGTTTAGGGAGATGATATAGAAATTATATAGCAAGAGTTTAGGGAGATGGTATAGAAATTATATAGTAGGAGTTTAGGGAGATGGTCGGGAAATTATATGGCAGGAGTTTAGGGAGATGGTCGGGAAATTATATAGCAGGAGTTTAGGGAGATGGTATAGAAGTTATATAGCAGGAGTTTAGGGAGATGGTCGGGAAATTTTATGGCAGAAGTTTAGGAAAATTGTAGGATTTTATTGGGGAAAATGTGAGGTAAATTTTGTCTACTCGATATATTATATTACTTGGGAGATGAATTTAGCATGGTTGCAATTTTAAATGCAAGTGATTGCACGTGTTTCGATAAGTTGCAATTTTATGTACTAACTGATACTACACATTGCAAGTTTGTGTATTACAGTTATATGCATTGCAATTTTATTGCCCTGGTAATTTGACCAGTTTTATGTATTGCAGTCCTACATATAATAATTTTATGCATTGCGATCCTACGCATTGCAATTTTATGCCCCGCAATTCTATTTGCAGTAATTCTACGCGTCGTTCTTCAGTGGCGTAATAGTGCACGTGACACTACGCTACGTTTCAATTTTATGCATTGCAATTCTGTATATTGTGGTAATTATATGCGTTGTAATTCTACCCTTTGCAAATTTACTGCAATTATATCAAAAATTTTACAAATTGTAATCCTGCACGTTGTATTGTCACATTATGCATTTTTGCAGATTGCAATTTTACAAATTGCAATTTGATGCAGTTCTATGTATTCCAATTTTACACATTGTAAAAACTCTACGAAATACAATACTGTGACCTGATACCATGAGTTGCAGTTTTTTCACGACGCAATTGTATGCATTGCAGTCTTGTGGTTTACTATGTTACACGTTGCATTGTAATCCCGTGATAATGTTGCACTTTGCATTTCTACAAGTCGTAATAATGCAACGAATTGCATTCTTACATATTGTAATCGTGCACTTTGTAGTAAATCAAGGATATCATTGCGACGCAATTCTACTTTGTAATAATTCAACTCGTAGCAAATCTTATGCATTGCAATTTTACGCATTGCTCTTGTATGCGTTACTTGTTGCAAGTTTACGTAATACAATTCTACTGTAGTAGTTCTATGCACAACACTTGTTACGTGAAAGATATCTCACCATTCGACATACTCGAAAAGTGTGGTCAAGAGAAAATATTTAGGTTAGGTTTACGTAAACAAGATGGCGGTGAAGCAGAAAATGGTTGCCCACATTGCAACAGAACACAAGCACCACTAATAAAATTATTGATATAATTAACGTTGTGTTATACTGGATTGAATTATACCTAAATACAATTTAGACAACCCTTCTGTAAATATTTTTTTTTATGGAAATACTTTGTAACACAAAAATAAGAATTTCCATCATAAAAGCAAAATCGTAAGAAACCAGTAGAATCATCAAAGTCTATAAATAAGTAAAACATGTAATTAAATCTCACACGTAATCGATCCTATCTATCGCCACTTATAAGTAACTTTTCAAACACCTAAGAAAAAGGCAGCCTCTCGTTGCGTATCCACATCTTGTATCTTCTCACGACGGTAGCATAGTAGCGTTCAACGCGATCGTCACGAAAAGGTTAACTCGGTGGAAGAAAGAAAAAAAAAATAACAGGGGAAGCCTATCTCGTATTCATTATCAAACACGATGGATTTGATTGCTGTATGGCCGGTAATTTATTACCGTCCTGATCGACGAGATTTATCAAACAGCTTCTGCCTGTACGCGCAACAGTTGGCCAATGACGAGGCGATCGTTAAAAGACGAGCAAGAGGTTGGATCGAGGTATCTGCAGGAATCGATGGAACAATATTTGGCAAGTTTGGAATTTGGGGTTTTGGAAGGTGGTAATTTTGGGATTTTGGAAGGTGGGAATTTTGGAATTTGGGAATTTGGAGGTTTGGGGAATTTGAGGAGTTAAAGAGTCAAGGAAAATTAAAAATTTGGGGATTTTTGGAGGACTTGGAGGTTTGGAGGATTGGAAGATTGGGGGATTTGGGAATTGGGGGATTTGGGAATTGGGGGATTTGGGAATTGGGGAATGTGGGAATTGGGGAATGTGGGAATTGGGGAATGTGGGAATTGGGGAATGTGGGAATTGGGGAATGTGGGAATTGGGGAATGTGGGAATTGGGGAATGTGGGAATTGGGGAATGTGGGAATTGGGGAATGTGGGAATTGGGGAATGTGGGAATTGGGGAATGTGGGAATTGGGGAATGTGGGAATTGGGGAATGTGGGAATTGGGGAATGTGGGAATTGGGGAATGTGGGAATTGGGGAATGTGGGAATTGGGGAATGTGGGAATTGGGGAATGTGGGAATTGGGGAATGTGGGAATTGGGGAATGTGGGAATTGGGGAATGTGGGAATTGGGGAATGTGGGAATTGGGGAATGTGGGAATTGGGGAATGTGGGAATTGGGGAATGTGGGAATTGGGGAATGTGGGAATTGGGGAATGTGGGAATTGGGGAATGTGGGAATTGGGGAATGTGGGAATTGGGGAATGTGGGAATTGGGGAATGTGGGAATTGGGGAATGTGGGAATTGGGGAATGTGGGAATTGGGGAATGTGGGAATTGGGGAATGTGGGAATTGGGGAATGTGGGAATTGGGGAATGTGGGAATTGGGGAATGTGGGAATTGGGGAATGTGGGAATTGGGGAATGTGGGAATTGGGGAATGTGGGAATTGGGGAATGTGGGAATTGGGGAATGTGGGAATTGGGGAATGTGGGAATTGGGGAATGTGGGAATTGGGGAATGTGGGAATTGGGGAATGTGGGAATTGGGGAATGTGGAAATGGGGGATTTTGGGAATTGGGGATTGTGGAATTGGGGAATGTGGAAATTGGAGAATGCTGGAATTGGAGAAAGCTGGAATTGGGGAATGTGGGAATTGGGAGGTTTGGGAATTGGGGATTGTGGAATTGTGGAATTGTGGATTGTGGAATTGGGGAATGTGGGAATTGGGGAATGTGTGTAATAACACCTCAACAATCGCACTATTAACGAACTTAAAACCTTAATAATTCCACCATAAAAAAATTCCTCTCTTCAAATGTTTGTAAATATAAAAATTGATCTATCAACCGACTTGAGAATATTAAACTTGTAAATTTAACAAAATTAATGCTCAATGATGATGTCTTTCATCTGCCATTTATGACTCGACTATTTACGAGTTGATTTTCCATGGATCGAACCACGGACCAACGATCGTGGATTTCATCCGTTGGAGATTAGAGTCTGTTCACAAAGTGTGGCCAGTGCTTTCACGTTTACGTCTCTTTTATGCATAAAGTACATGGGAATACCGCAAATAGCCTTTGGACACTGGCGGCCATGGTAACGGTGTGCCTGATTGCGAGCGATATGTTCGTCGAGATATTCTACGAACATCCTGGAGCGTTGTCGATGGTCACGTTTCCGCGATTCGGCCATCACGCTCCCTTTCTACTCTCTCGCTTTGCAATCCTTCTAATCTACTTCCATGTAAATGATAAAAGCGGTTTTCACGAAAAAAAACCTGGTCGAAACGCTGCCATGGTTTTCTTTAATCTTCTACCATTTTTGAGCCGATTCAATACTGTAGAATTTATTTTTTAACGTTTATTTAGGATAATAGTATCTTTTTATTGTTACAGAAGACTCTATGGCACTTATAAATACATTTGTAAGTTCCAGTAAAATTTTCTGTAGAGAAAGTATATTAACTTCGAAGAATTTATGAAAATAATTTGCTACTTTGTCGAATTTAATAATAAATGATTTGTAGTGTGATTAATTATGAAATGTCGAGAGTGAAAATTTGTAATTTAAGAAGTTTATTGGTGTCACGGAAACGATTCAAAGTATGCACAAACAGTGAAAGTAAGTCTGGAGATATATTTATTGCTTGTTTAATCATATCTGATCTCCAGTTCTCACTCTGTCGACTTTCCAAAATTATCATACATTTCTTCTGTATAATGATTCAATATTTTACTACATGAGAAAATTGAGTTTTGGGCTGAGAATGATTGACACATTTTAAGATTTATTTAAAATAATTTTGTTCTGAATTTTTAAACGCATTCTAGACTCAATTCTTGTTACTATATTCTAATAGTGGTCGACGACAGACAAGACGATTGCAACTTTCCCGTCTGGACATCGTCCGTAAAAATCTCTATCTGGCATTCATTATCGCAGATTTCACTTTTCCTCACGCGTAATAAATTAGAACGACATAGTCTCGTGGTTGGCCTCTTAGCTTTCCGTGTCGTTCGATTTGTTTCAAATGTCAACGCTTTTTCACTTGTATTTACATGTATGCACACATATGCATATGTTTAAACATAAATACACTATGAATAATATGCAACTGTACAAATACATGAATATGTACACATGTATGTACATATAAACAAATGACGTACATGTACGCATATGTAGAATATGCTGAAGTATGCATATGCATGAATATGTACAAATATACACATGTATCAATATGTTCAAGTATGCATATATATGAATATGTACAAATATATACATACATGAATATGAACAAGTATACACATATGTGAATATATTCAAATATACACATACGTGAATATGTACAAGTATACACATATGCGAATATGTTCAAATATACACATACATGAATATGTACAAGTATACACATATGTGAATATATTCAAATATACACATACATGAATATGAACAAGTATACACATATGTGAATATGTTCAAATATACACATACATGAATATGCACATATGTACATGTAGACAAGTAACATACGAGTACACACATATATGAATATGCTCCAGCATGCACATATATAAATATGTACAAGTATACACATACATGAAAATACACATATATGAAGATGTTTTTTCTCCATGCCCACCAATGTTTCCCCACGTTTCTGTATATGCACTTACTTGGTTAACGTTTCGAGAGAGGACGTATATATTGTGCCGCCTACGTCGATGTGGACCGGTGCCGTGTACCTGGATGCTGCTGCCACACAAGGTATACCAGTCATTTTTTGGTTGTACGCCGGTGCAGCCGGCGTCGGAGGCGTCGGCGACGAGGAATTCGACATTGTGGGCGACGTGGCCGGCGAACTGCTTGGCGACAGCAATCTGACAAAGATACTTTCGACATTAGCCACCATCAGGCCCTGTTCCTTCTACGAGCCTTCGAAGCTCGTGCTTCGAGCATTCGCGAAGAACGATGAAGATACTGAGACATCGAGAACGACAGGTACTTCTTTCTTCCGATGTTACTTTAGGTATAAGATTCTTTAGGTGCAAGTTTAGGTATAAGGTTCTTCAGATACTACTTTAGGTATAAGATTCTTTAGGTGCAAGTTTAGGTATAAGGTTCTTCAGGTACTACTTTAGGTACGAGGTTCCTCAGGTACTACTTTAGGTATAAAGTGCTTCAGGTACTACTTTAGGTACAAGGTTCCTCAGGTACTACCTTAGCTACAAGGTTCTTCAGGTACTACTTTAGGTATAAGGTTCCTTAGGTACAAATTTAGTTATAAGACTCTTTAGTTGTGAGACACCCTGTATATTATATTATTACTTCTTCAGGTATGCAATTCAGATATTACAATTTTACGTACATCTCAAGTGTAAGTATACGTAAGTTTATTACTACAAGTATTTAGGTAGCTTTGTAACATTCTTCAAGTGTAACATTCTTCATCAAATTGCAGCGTTCCTTCATCGTTCTTCCTGTACTTGTAAATACTTAACTATGACATTTCAACTATAGCATGTTCCAACATTAGCTTTCAAAACTGATGGTTATGAAGTTTATGTGTATTGTGAGTAACTCATGAAGAAGAAGAAGAAGGAAGTTATTGTATTATGGGAAGTTTATATATATTTTTATTTACCTCATTTTAATTTGAGCGCTAGGGAACATATTGCGTTGTGCCAGTTCCGCCTTTGCCTCCTTTCCGTCGGCCTCACATTTCCGTCTGCAATTAAAACCCATGCAATGTTCAGAAAATATTGATACGATCATGTATTGGCAACGCAGATTAAATTATAGATTAGATTAGGTAATAGAAAAACATGTGAACAACGTTAGCTCTAGATTTACATATCGAGGACCTATAATGAACATACATGAACATACAAGGACATACATGAACTAAATCTAAACTTAGAATTTAGGGACATCTTAGAATTTAAGGACGTAGAGTCTATGTCTTATAATTTCAAAACGTAGAGATCTAAAAATGTAATACTCTACATAAAAAGTATCCATTGAGACTTTGTGAGCCTTCAATCACCTCCTCCCTTTATAACTCATTCTCCGAACTCCACGAATAAAGGACCCGCAAGATTTTCCTAGATTTTTACTCCTCACCGGTGAAAACGCCAGGACGAACGTTTGCAGCTGCCATTTAGAAGTCGAAATTCCACTCGCTCGTTCCTGACATTAACTCGGAACTTTCCCTCTAACGAGGTCGAGCTCGCGGGCCGATTTCAACCACGACCGCCGGGGCTCGATTTAATTTATCGATCCTCATGGCCGTGACGATAAGGCTGATTTACCAGGGCATTGTTTTCGGTCGAGCCACCGCCGATCCGGAACGCCTTGGACCAAACTTTCTGCAACGGCCCACACGGTATATCCGTCGCCACCATTTTCGAACATACGTATTAATAAGGCAATTAACGCTGGAACAATATTTAACGAGGTGGCAAACCAAACTCGACGGGGTCCGGCCAACGAGAAAATTCAAAGGGATGGGCGCGGGATAAAGAGGGACCTGGGTACACATTTACGTATGCTTTGTGTTATATCCTCTTCTTTGGGCGGTGCTTCCATAAAAAATATTAATTTGTATTTTATTGTGGTTTTTTGAATTTTTAAATTTCTTACATTTTTTAATTGGTGGACTAATTTTTAAATTTTGATGTATAATTTTATATTTGGTGTTCTTCGAATTTTCAAACTTTTTCATTTTTGTATTTTTAAATCAGTGGATTTACAAATTTTTAAACTTGAAGAAGCTTACATTTCACAATTTTCTAAAATCTTGTAAATTCTGAAACTTAAAAGTTTTCAAACTCACAAATAGTCAAATTTCCAAAAGTTGCAATATAACGAGAGAGTATTATATCAAGTGCAACGCTTGGTACAAAGTCGTTGTAACTTGAAGACTATTACTCATCCCATCCAGTAACTGTAAAATGTAAATCGTAAAATAAATTGATCCCAATTAATTCCGAGTAAATCAGTTTCAATTAATTATTCCAATTTATTCAAACGAAATCAATCTTCATTAATTACTTGAATTTATTCGACCTAAATTATTCTTGATTAATTATCGCAATTTATGTCAATAAATCTTGATTAATTATTCAAATTAATTCCAACTATTACTTCCAAATAAATCTGAATTAATTATGGCAATTAATTCCAGTTACAGGATGTCATGTATGTTGTTGTTTGTCGAGGTTCTTTCAAGAAGTTAGGTTATGTTAGTTAGGTTATGTTCTTCATTTTGTGTACTCTAAAGTTGTGAAGTAATACATTGTTAAAATATTGTGAATATTGTTATTGAACATTATTATGTGAACATTATTAATATCAATTTATTATTGTCATTATTATTATGAAGAACATTACAAAATATTGTGAACATTATTATTGAACATTGTTATTGAACATTATTATGTAAACATTGTTATTATCAATTTATTATTGTCATTAGTATTATGAAGAACATCATTGTTAAGAACATTACAAAATATTGTGAACATTATTATTGAACATTGTTATTGAACATTATTATGTGAACATTGTTATTATCAATTTATTATTGTCATTATTATTATGAAGAACATCATTGTTATGAACATTACAAAATATTGTGAACATTATTATATGAACATTATTGTCATCATTATTACTGTTATTATTATTATTGTCATTATTATTATTATGAAGAATATCATTGTTTTGAACATTACAAAATATTGTGAACATTATTATTGAACATTATTACATAAACATTATTATTATCATCATTATTATTATTGTCATCATTATTAACTTAAAGAATATCATTATTATAAACAATATAAATATTGTAAACATCATTGCTCAAAATAAATCGAATTCCTCAAAAATCCTATTTAAAACAAATTACGATATCCGACACCTAACACCTTCTTCCCTATATTTTCACCTAACACCATTTTTGAACCTAGTTTCAATAATTATGAACCCGAGCGCAACAGCGACCACAACGTCGAAGAGCCGACGATCCTGAAGAGCAACGAAGAAAAGATTCAGCATCGCGTATCGCGTTGTTCCTGCGGCGATCTCGGTACACCGCGGACCTGGACGAGAAGAAGAAGAAGAAGAAGAAAAGGAGGAGAAAAGAGAAACCAGTCCCCTCGGCCAACCTTAGTCCTCATCGAACGTCGCAACGTACTCTCCGGCTTACAGGCTGAAAATAAATATCGCGGCCGGCGACGACGACGACGACGAGAATCTTCTTTCCTTCTCGAGTTTCGTGGTCGATGGTACTTGCAATGGGTTCTTTAATACCCCCGTGGATACACAGCCTCGTATTTATTGGGGTTTATACGCCGATGGTTAACGTTACCACGTCCGCGATGATTTATGCCCTTGAGAGACTGCATGATTGATTCTCGGCTCTTCGGGGATTATTTTCAAGGAAATGTGGGAAATTCGTGGGTTTATTGATGGGTGAGTTGTTTGTTTAGTGTGGTTGTAGAAGAAGAGGGTTCCGACGAAGATTCTGGGATTGAGGTTAGGTAGATTTGGAGTTAGGTGGATTTCGGGTGGTCAAATTAGATTGTTTTAAAAACTGTGAAATTATTTCAAGGCCCCTTCAAGGTCAGTCGAGGTCATTGAAGGTCGACTAACAGTTGTTCTAACTTTCTCCCTAATTCACAAACTTATAAATCTAGAATTTATAACTTGGAAATTTGAGAATTTAGAAAATTGCAAGGTTGAAATTATGAAAATCAGAATATGGGAAATTTGAGTTTCTTAAAAAGTTCTTAAACTTGAAAACGCACAAACTTAAAACCGTAAAAACTAAAAACTACAGCCATGGAATCCTAACCTTTTACCAACTGAAGAAAATAAAAATACAAGAATTTTCGAATTGACAATCCGAGTCCGAAGCAAATAAAAAAAGGAAGTTGGAAGAAGAAATGGTGCATAACGAGTTAAGGTGTACCCGTTGTAGTCGGCGAAGTAACAACGGCCGTGTTGGTCGCCCGGGGCCAATCCATGGTCTCTTGTGGACGTTTATGAATGTGGAATAACAGACGAATATGGTGAGGCTGTTTATTTGGACGCTTGCCCCATATATTTTAATTGACGCCGCGAGTGCAACCGGGTTGACGATAAATCTCCGAGGGGGACGTGCAGGGTTGCGTTTGAGGGTGTGAAGTAAAGCGGAAAGAATCGTGGGTGTAGGGATTATAGCGACTGTGTTGGTATTATTGGAGCGAACGTGTTCGTATTATGGGGTTCGGTGAAATTGTCCGATCGCTACCAATATGTTATTTCTATTTAACCCTTTGGGTGTTTGGTCTGCGAGTAATATGGCGAGACATGGCGGATCGTGTTCGTATTATTCGTAACAAATATCAGTAATATTAATCATAACATTGTAGTTTTTATTTGATTTTAAGAGTCCTCTTGTTACTCTTTCGTATCTCATTAATCTAACTGTTACCTGTCAGAATATACAGGGTGCCTCAAAATTAGTGTAGGTGCACTTGTTGTGAGACATCCTGTATAATAGTGCTGTTCTTATTTAACGTTTCCATTAAGATTATCAGTTTTTGTTACTTTAATATCTATTGAATTAAAAAACGTATTAAGTGCTATCAGTGTAGCTATAAGTGAAACACCCTGTATAATAGTGCTATTCTTATTTAACGTTTCCATTAAGAGCACGACTATCAGTCTTTGTTACTTTAACATCTATTTAATTAAAAAATGTATTAATAGTATGAACTGCTATAGTGTTCATAGTAATAGTATAGTATGATAGTAATAGTATGAACTGCTATCAGTGTTCTATTTGTATGTTGTTAATTATAGTTTAAACATTATCATGTACATTATAATTATCTAATTGTGACACCCTGTATATTTAATACCGAGGTTCAAAAAAGAATAAGATCAGAATACAAAAGTTGATAACAGCGTTTTCTACTTAATATTAATTTATTACATCAAAAGTAATTACAATGACATACATTTAAGTTGAGGCATAGTTTCATAGCGACGAGTGTAACAAACATTATCCTTGGAATGCCTGTAGGCAATCGATTAACGTATGCAGATTCCTCTAATGTAGATGCATGTATAAATGTGCTCGTAATTAACCTACATCATAATTGCACGGCAAATCGCGAGCAAGAACGATCCGTGCGGGGTCAATTATCGAAACAACGCGCACCATAGACTTTGGTTTCCAATCTAATCTGTTAGAAAGGTAAATCGTATAGTGTCATTTCTGCGGTTACGTAAAATTGCGGATTGAATTGCGATGTGGTTAGTGTCGAAATGCGAACAAAGATGAAATTGATATGGTAAAGTGAAAGATTTTAATAATCAGGGAGAATGTTCAATATATGCTAGTTAAGTCATTTGAATACTGCAGTCGCTGTAAATAGTTGACAAAGTTAATCGTAAATAATAGCATAATTCTAAATAACACGTTTCATATTTTACGACATACAAGAAATGCCATCGGGCTATTATCTCCCTTTTAAGCATCGTAAATTCATGACTATATAATTTTATGATTTACCGCTCAAGATGGCGGGTATGGACTCTGTTTGGGATTTCATAAGAATTTTTAAAATATTCTATAGGTTAGATTATTATTTTTTATTTTTGTGGAAAAATTTATTCTTTCATTGTGTATTATATGGTCCTTGATTTGTGATAATTTGCTAATACTGTTTT